AACACTTGAACTGGACTGACCACCTGCCCTGCACCTGCTCTGATTCTCCGCACCTTAGCACACATCACAACTGCTGCTACCAGACTTATTATACAGGTCAATTTATACACTTGCCCCCCATTTCTCCCTTCCCCAATACACATGTAAATATTGTACTATACATTTTGCCTTCCTGTATTACAATTATGCTAAAATGTTTATTATATTGTTGCCATTTACTTTGTATTCTTATGTTTTACTATTTCTTATTGTTGTTACCTTGTCGAGAAGGAACCTGCAAGTAAGCGTTTCGTTGGACGATGTTTACCATGCTTATGCCGTACAGACGAGTAATACAACTTGAACTATTTGTGTGCAATTTAGGCCATCGTTTCTCTCGGTCATCATACACACGGCCACCTGTGTGACGCTACCCAGTATTAGTCACAATAATGGAATTTGCGGTTCGCCTTCAAAATAAAGGTCCCACATTGAAACTGATCCAAACGTATCCAAATAGTGGAATAATGCTAAACAAGGTTGGAATTTTGTTATATAACTTTAAAATGAATGCAATAATTAAAAAACTCTTCAAATCCCACTGTGGATGTATTAGACTGCATAATTGCATTGGGGGCATACATACAGTTATGCACTATACAGCCTAGCCCTCAAACTCAAGGTGGCATTCTGCCTTATCCCTACAGTTTTCAGCCATTAGCTTTACCCATGACTACCTCATGTGAACTACAATCCCAATGCTGTGTTTTAACGTTTAGAAATGCCAATAATCATTGCTTGCGATACGGCTTTCGAAACATATGGGCCTTATCTTTCATCAGAAAGAATCCTTTAAATACAAAAGATACACTTACTGTAGCAGTTTTGCACAGATCCATACAGCTATGGGTGCCTCCATCCGACGATCCTACACTTCCGCTATACCCGAGTTACATTTACACACAGGTGTTCGGAGCGTGCTAGATAGGTAATTAGCACAGGTGGTCGGTCGCCTCTTGTCTTCCGTAAACAAGCATTGTATCATGGAAATATGGCCGTGTGGGAACACTAACCCTATCAAGGTGTGTATCAATTTAACGTTTTGTTTTTTGAAAATTATTTCTCGCTGATATGAAAGATGAGGTCCTTATACTTCCAAAACCGTACCGCAAGGGACAGTTGTTAATGTTCAGATTGAGCGTCGGGGCTCTTAACAAAAGTCCCCAGTACAGAAGACGCCTTCGTCCAATTACTCTTATGTGTAACGTAATGGAACTGAGAGTCATGATCAAGGGCTATGTACAGCCTAACTATGGAAATGGGGTATCAGCCTTGTCAGTGACACCCACAGATTACAATCCCAAAGAGTTTACGCAAATATGAGCGTCATAGCTCTTATTGCAGGACTTTGACCCTGGGAAATAACCTCCTCAGTTAGTCTATTGAACATTCATATTGGACTGTACTATGGAGAGTGCACCCATGAAATGGGGTTATCAGCCTACTCAGTGACACCCACAAAACACAACACAATTATGCGGTGTAATTGTGGCTAATCCTTATTGTGGCTAGCTTCACAGGTCACAAGAAATACAGAACTAAGAACCGATATAGCCCCTGGTTCTCCTCAGACTTGACTGCCCTTGACCAGCACAAAAACATCCTGTGGCGTACAGCATTAGCATCAAATAGCCCCCGCGATATGCAACTTTTCAGGGAAGTTAGGAACCAATATACACAAGCAGTCAGGAAAGCAAAGGCTAACTTTTTCAAACAGAAATTTGCATCCTGTAGCACTAACTCCAAAAAGTTTTGGGACACTGTAAAGTCCATGGAGAATAAGAGCACTTCCTCCCAGCTGCCCACTGCACTGAGGCTAGGAAACACTATCACCACCGATAAATCTACAATAATCGAGAATTTCAACAAGCATTTTGCTACAGCTGGCCATGCTTTCCATCTGGCTACCACTAACCCGGCCACCAACTCTGCACCCTCTGCTGCAACTTGCCCATGCCCCCCCCCGCTTCTCCTTCACACAAATTCAGACAGCTGATGTTTTGAAAGCGCTGCAAAATCTGGACCCCTACAAATCAGCTGGGCTAGACAATCTGGACCCTTTCTTTCTAAAACTAGCCGCCGAAATTGTCGCTACCCCTATTACTAGTCTGTTCAACCTCTCTTTCATAACGTCTGAGATCCCCAGAGATTGGAAAGCTGCCGCGGTCATCCCCCTCTTCAAAGGGGGTGACACTCTAGATCCAAATTGCTACAGACCTATATCCATCCTGCCCTGCCTTTCGAAAGTATTCGAAAGCCAAGTTAACAAACAGATCATCGACCATTTCGAATACCACCGTACCTTCTCCGCTATGCAATCCGGTTTCCGAGCTGGTCACGGGTGCACTTCAGCCACGCTCAAGGTCCTAAACGATATTATAACCGCGATTGATAATAGACAGTACTGTGCAGCCGTCTTCATCGACCTGGCCAAGGCTTTCGACTCTGTCAACCACCGCATTCTTATTGGCAGACTAAATAGCCTTGGTTTCTCAAATGACTGCCTCGCCTGGTTCACCAACTACTTCTCAGATAGAGTTCAGTGTGTCAAATCGGAGGGCCTGTTGTCTGTACCTATGGCAGTCTCTATGGGGGTGCCACAGGGTTCAATTCTTGGGCCGACACTTTTCTCTGTGTATATCAATGATGTCGCTCTTGCTGCTGGTGACTCTCAGATCCACCTCTACGCAGACGACACCATTTTGTATACATCTGGCCCTTCATTGGACACTGTGTTAACAAACCTCCAAACGAGCTTCAATGCCATACAACAATCCTTCAGTAGCCTCCAACTGCTCTTAAACACTAGTAAAACTAAATGCATGCTTTTCAATCGAACGCTGCTGGCACCCGCCCACCCGACTAGAATCACCACTCTCGACGGGTCTGACCTAGAGTATGTGGACAACTACAAATACCTAGGTGTCTGGTTAGACTGTAAACTCAACTTCCAGACTCACATAAAGAATCTCCAATCCAAAGTTAAATCTAGAATCGGCTTCCTATTTCGCAACAAAGCCTCCTTCACTCATGCTGCCAAACATGCCCTCGTAAAACTGACTATCCTACCGATCCTTGACTTCGGCGATGTCATTTACAAAATAGCCTCCAACACTCTACTCAGCAAATTGGATGTAGTCTATCACAGTGCCATCCGTTTTGTCTCCAAAGCCCCATACACTACCCACCACTGTGACCTGTACGCTCTTGTTGGCTGGTCCTCACTACATGTTCGTCGTCAAACCCACTGGCTCCAGGCCATCTATAAATCACTGCTAGGCAAATCCCCGCCTTATCTTAGCTCATTGGTCACCATAGCAGCACCCACCCGTAGTCTGCGCTCCAGCAGGTATATCTCACTGGTCATTCCCAAAGCCAACACCTCCTTTGGCCGCCATTCCTTCCAGTTCTCTGCTGCCAATGACTGGAACGAATTGCAAAAATCTCTGAAGCTGGAGACTCTTATCTCCCTCAATAACTTTAAGCATCAGTTGTCAGAGCACCTTACCGATCACTGCACCTGTACACAGCCCATCTGAAATTAGCCCACCCAACTACCTCATCCCTATATTGTTATTTATTTTGCTCTTTTGCACATAATCTCTTGCACATCTAGCATTCCAGTGTTAATACTATTGTAATTATTTTGCACTATAGCCTATTTATTGCCTTACCTCCATAACTTGCTTCATTTGCACACACTGTATATATATTTTCTGTTGTATTTCTGACTTTATGTTTTTTACCCCATATGTAACTCTGTGTTGTTTTTTATTGCACTACTTTGCTTTATCTTGGCCAGGTCGCAGTTGTAAATGAGAACCTGTTCTCAACTGGCTTACCTGGTTAAATAAAGGTGAAATAAAAAAAATAAAAAAAAACACGGCCACACAAGACACATCCACAGCTGTGCGGAAATGACACAGCAGGCGCGCGCCCCGACACGTCACGCGAGACGACACAGACCCCCCCCCCCCCCCAAAAAAAAAAAAAAAAAAAAAAGAAATAGAGGAGAAACACGAACAACAGTGTGTGAAATTCCCACGGAATTCGTGGCAGATATGTTAACCACGTCATCAATTACTGCAAAGGACTACATTAAATCGTAAAGGTGAGTTCGCGCTAAAGCATCTGTGTTTATATTTTTTACAATTCCACGTAGAGTGGGAAAAACTCGTCCAATACACTGCCGCGTCACTAGATACATATCCCTTTAAAACAATGATAAGCTAGGTTTAATGCGAAGTATAAATATATATATATATTCTGTGTATTCAAATACATCTCATGGCGTTTTTTAATTGCCACGAAAGGCTGAAGTTTTTATTGACAGTGGGAAAAGCAAAACAGTTAGTTGTGTGTGTACTCATGTTTTGGTTCATGGTCTTCTAGTGTAGAAGAATGAGGAAGTGGATGTGACAGGGGGCTTGTGAGACAAGTCAAATAAAGCCTCTTGCATCACTACAGAGAACACAACTCACCCACTGTTAGCAATTAAACAATAGAGCACAAGTTAGTGTCTTATATTTTATTGTAAAATTAACGTAGCTTACTTCGACGCTGTCCAATATTGTCCTTAAATAAACATGAGCCCAAGCAGCTGATCAAATAGCACGGGTTCAGAATATCATCCATGTATGCCTATGAACATACTGTAGAAAGCAGGTGCGGTAGACAAGGGCCTGATTGATTACAACAATATAACATCAAATGCTTTACTTTTCTATGGAACAACAGTCACAATTGTTGTTGAAGCGTAGAATGGGACTTTTAATATGAAAGATGAAGTCTCCAACAAAATAACACAATTAGGACAATGCAATCAATGTAATGTGCCTATTTAGAGAAATTACAACAGTCAAGGTTACTTACCAGTGCAGTGACATTGGAATTCTGAAAATGGCATAAACAGTGATGTTGCAGGTTTTATTTATTTTGATTCTATTGTTTTACTATAGGATATGAATACCTCTGACCATGGGGAAAACTCAGATGGCGAAATGCTTGAGAGAGGTAAGTACAAACCATTTAATATTCCACTGTTATTGCAACTATTCACTTCCAAACTGTTTGGATTTAGCAACAGCTAAAGTGGGGAAATCTAATCAAGCTGTATATTGGAAATAACATAACATTGATTTGAAATGTTTGTTTTCTGCAGAGCGAGAACCCATTCAAGACATCAAGACAGAGACAGATGAATGTACTATTAGTGAGAAAACTGAAGGACCCCGAAGATGGTACCTTGGAACTAGTGAGGCCACCAGGAAACGTACTGCCAAGGACATGGGCTGTGACGCTCACAATTCTGAATTGCAGCGGTCTAACAGCAGCAAAAGAGTCAGGGTCTCTAGTGAGGTAAATTAATGAAATGGCTTAATCAATGATTATGGCTAACTGAACTTGGTAAATAGACAAATGTCATCAAATAGACATAGGCCTATCTATTTATTTAGCTTGCTTATTCCAGTTTTTATTTACATGACATTGAAAAGACAAATAGTTTTTTTATTTGAGATAAGAAATGCATGTTGTTGTTGTCTCTGTGTAGGCAGGCCGGCGCTTGCTGAGGAGATTGTCTGAAGAGTCCACGAGGCCTCAACCCCTCTGCCTGACATCTGCGGAGAAGGACCCTGCCCAGGAGAAGACTATAGCCTCTTACAGGAAGCCTCTCTACAGCATCTCTCACAGAATCACAGAGAAGAAGCACACATCAAGCCTGGACCAGCAGGCTCAGCATGAGGGAGGAGTGCGGCTAAGCTATAGCAATCTCTTATCCCCTCAACTGGTCAATACAGGGGAGCACAGCCAAAGTGAACCCCTCTCTGCCCTGGGGACGGCAGGGTCCATGTCTTCAACAGACTCTAATCTATACTCCCTCATCGAGAAGATGTTTTTCATCCTCAATACGCTCAACTCAAGCATGACCCAACTGCACAGCAAGGTGGATCTACTTTCCCTGGAAGTCACTCGCATCAAAAAACAGATCAAACCCTCAGAGATGGCAACTGAGTTCCAGCCTCCGCCAGAATACCTGTTGACAAGTGAGGAGCTGAGTCAACTGATGGAGCAGACATCAAATGCTGGGGAGTTGGGTTGTCGACTGCTAGTACACCTCTTCCCAGAACTTTTTAAAGCCAAGGAGTGCACTCCTGGTAGTATTGCCAACAAGAGAACATTGGATTCCCTACAGCTGCAGCTAATACGCAACTATGTGAAGGTGTGTTTTCCTCTGGTAAAGAACAACAACATTTGGCAGGATGAATGCCTATTACAGATTAATAACTTCTTTAACCGCTTCTGGGCTCAGAAGGATATGGAGAGCGGGCCACAGTCATGTGGTAGACACACTATTATAGGCTTAGGTTTAAAAGCTGAGCGGAACCAGCCCTGCCATTTTATAAATGAGGGGCAAGAAGTGCACCTTGAGTTACACTCCAATAGTGACCACACCAACAATAAAGTAGTAGTGCCAGACCTTGTGTTTGACACTCAGGAGCTTGGAGAGGATCTTGATGAGCTCTCCTCCCCTGAAGATTTTATGTTTCTTGTAAACAGACTTTTCCCAGAGGTTTTTGAGCAGGGGAAATTGCCAGAGGGTAGTGTGGGAAAGATGATCCTGGACTCGGACAGGATAGAGATTATCCGTAAATACATGGAAGCAAATTTTCCTGACGTCCCAGAGGATAGTTGGCTGCAGGTGTGTGTGCAGCGCATAGAAGATGCAATAGAGGGTTATCACAGTAACGGCAATGGCAGTGAGCCTGAGAACATGAATGATGAGAGCTATGACTCCACAGGCCTCCCTGATGATGTCTCTATCATCAAGATCAGTGACTTGTGTGACTACGAGAGACCAGGTCGTAGGTCAAAAAAGTCCTTGCTTGTGCCAGTCGATTTTGAACAACTTGAGATCCCCCTACCAGATCTGAGTGTGCCTCAAGAGTATCTGCTCTCTAGGGAGCAACTGAGGAACAACTATGAATGTAGCTTGTCAATTGGGAACTTTGCCTCTCGCCTCTTAGTACTTATTTTCCCTGAGCTCTTCACCTACGAGAACACACGGAAGCATTACAACTGTAGTGGCTCTCTCGGGAAGAAGCAGCTTGATCCTGTACGGGTCAACCTTATTCGCCACTACGTACAGCTACTATATCCACAGGCCAAGAATGACAGAGTGTGGACCCTGGAATTTGTGGGTAAACTGGACGAGCTGTGCAGGCGACGAGACACGGAACAACGGCGGTCATACCAGCAGCAACCCAAAGTCTATGCTCCTGAGTTGGAGCAAGAGCCTGTGGACTTTGTGGCTGCTTGCCAAGTGAACCAGCTCAAAACAGAGCACTTGAAAGAGGACTTTGAGATCCCTCCACTACCCCCTGAAAAAAGTAGCAAAGACTTCTGCATGATCCCCCTGGAGGAATTGACGGTGTCGATTCCAGACTTCACAGTGCCTTTGGTCTACTTGCTCTCAGACACTGAGGTGCGAGAGATTGTCCAGCAGAGCCTTTCTGTGGGAAACTTTGCCGCCCGCCTACTGGTGCGCCTCTTCCCTGAGCTCTTCACTCAGGAGAACCTGCGGCTTCAGTATAACCACTCGGGCGCCTGCAATAAGAAGCAGCTGGATCCTGTGCGTCTCAGGCTCATCCGCCACTATGTAGAAGCCGTGTACCCAGTTGAGAAGATGGAGGAGGTCTGGCATTATGAATGTGTGCCAAGCATAGATGAGCGATGCCGGCGGCCCAACCGCAAGAAGTGTGACATACTGAAGAAGGCCAAGAGATCAAATACTGTGTCCTAGTAGCAAAGCTGAAGGCAACACTTTGCCTTTTTTGTTCTAAATATTTGCACAAGTACATAAGCTGAATAGCATAGTGGAGTCTTTGCACACTGTCCTGTGTAGGATAAGGCCAACTTGTAAAGGCTTTTCATTAGTACTCTTAATTAATGTATTTGTAATATTGAACTACAGTATTAGACAGTTTAGTTTTTCATCATCTGCTTGTTTGAGATTATAGACTAAGTTTATGTATACACCAAAACAATACTGTTGTAGCTAATCTAATTTACCCTGTATATAAGATGTTGTACCCTTAAAAACAATAACCATGTAAATATTACAAACACAGTAGATCACAGGCAAAGATGGATACAAATTGTGATAATTTTTTCTATCGCATATTTGTTGTCGCATTGTGTCACCACTGGTCTTTTATAACAATGTTATACCTTCTTATAGAAGTTTGTACTATAAATCTGTATTAAACCATGGCAACAGATCATGTAATCCCATTTGTAATCAAATCAGTCGAATTCAGCATTTCACTTTATTAGCATTTAGCACTCCATAATACTTATCCCACATATATCCCCTTGCATCCGATTCAAACCATGACTATCCATTTCATAGTTACATAGTAATCCTTGGAGAATGAGTGTTATTAACATTTGTTCATAGAAAATTGTGTCAAGGTCATTTGAAACCAGATAAGCCAATGATGATACATACCAAGAAGGCTATGTAAAAAAAATTCACCATTTGATGTAACATCATGCATAGACGTAGATATTCCAATTCCCTTGTCAATGGGGAGCGGTATAGTCAGTATTGTACACTGAACACTCATTGTTTAAAGGCATCCTGCTTAGGAAGTTCTAAGTTTTTCCAGCGCCTCAGAACAACTTTGGACCGGTCTCCATCCTTGGATTCACCCAATTCCTTCTTAATGATGACTCTCAAAAGCGTGACAGTGTCTGTTTCTTTGTTCTCTGACAATACCAAGTCCAAGGTGTCCCCAACTTTAACCTGAAGAGAGAACCAAAGACAGGTACAATTAAGAAACGTAGGGTTCGATTCAATCCGTATTGCTGAAGATCTGCGTTATAATATACTGAACAAAAATGTAAACGCAAAGTGAAAAGTGTTGGTCCCATGTTTCATGAGCTGAAATAAAAGATCCCAGAAATGTTCCATACGCACAAAACGCTTATCTCAAATTGACCACAAATTTGTTTACATTCGTGTTAGTGACCATTTCTCCTTTGCCAAGATAATCCAGCTGATCATGCTGTTTAATCAAGAAACTGATTAAACAGCATGATCATTACACAGGTGCACCTTGTGCTGGGGACAATAAAAGGCCACTCTAAAATGTGCAGTTGTCACATTGCTCCTGTAAGTCGCTCTGGATAAGAGCGTCTGCTAAATGACTAAAATGTAAAATGTAAATGTAAACATAATACCACAGATGTCAAAAGTTAAGGGAGTGTGCAATTGGCATGCTGAATGCAGGAATGTCCACCAGAGCTGTTGCCAGAGAAGTGAATGTTAATTTCTCTACCATAAGCCACCTCCAACGCCATTTTAGAGAATTTGGCAGTACATTCAACCGGCCTCACAACCATAGACCACGTGTAACCACACCAGGCCAGGACCTCCACATCCTGCGGGATCGTCTGAGGGGGTGCCGAGGATAATTTCTGTCTGTAATAAAGCCCTTTTGTGTGGAAAAACGAAAGTCTGATTGGCTGGGCCTGTCTCCTAAGTGGGTGGGCCTATGCCCTCCCAGGCCCACCTATGGCTGCGCCCTTGCCTAGTCATGTGAAATTAATATATTAGGGCCTAATTAATTTATTTCAATTGACTGATTTCCTTTTATGAACTGTAATGGGTAAAATCTTTGAAATTGTTGCACGTTGCATTTTTTTGTTTGTTTAGTATAGATTTAGTTTATATAGTGCTTTTCATACATTTACATAAAAATAAAAATAAACATTTTTAGTCATTTAGCAGACGCTCTTATCCAGAGCGACTTACAGTTAGTGACTACATTTTTTAAAAATATACTGGCCCCCCGTGGGAATCGAACCCACAACCCTGGCGTTGCAAACGCCATGCTCTATCAACTGAGCTACATCCCTGCCGGCCATTCCCTCCCCTACCCTGGACGACGCTGGGCCAATTGAGTCTCCCGGTCGCGGCCGGCTGCGACAGAGCCTGGATTCGAACCAGGATCTCTAGTGGCACAGTTAGCACTGCGATGCAGTGCCTTAGACCACTGCGCCACAAAGTCGCTTTAAAAAACAAACAAAAACAAATTCAGGGAGCTGGCAGTTCATGGGAGATGGTCTTCTACAGCTGGATGATGATGCAGTTCAGTAAAGGAGTAGATGGTACGGCCAGGGAGGGAGAAACAATCAGACAGGCAGGCCCGGAGCTGTTCATTAGGCACCTAGGTCTCTGAGGTTCACAGCTACTCCTCCTCTGTAGGTAGGCTGGAACAGATCCACCATGAAAAGTGTAACACCCATCTGGGTGATGCTTCGGCTGCTATTACAAGCACGTTTTAAATATTACGGTTATTTACCACGAATGCAGTCTCCGAATGCGGAAACATTGCCTTTAAATTTCAGTTGCGCTATAGTGCGGATCTTCAGTGCTACGGATTGAATCGAGCCCTTAGACTTTTCCCTGACAATCCAGAGCAAGGCAGGGTGTTGGTTGGACTGCTCTACCACTTCAGTTCGCGGGGGGTGGGTTTGGATCCTAACAGTCTTGTAAGATGTTGAAGGTTGGCATAAATATTGTTTATTTTACTAGGCACAAAAGTAACTCACCGATTTACTTTTCTTGATCAGTTTCTGTCCATTTAGCCAAAGCTTGTTGCCATAGAAAGCATCCTCCACTTTGCTGAAATAAAGACAAAAAAAATCAGTTGGCCACTGAGGATAAGACCATAGCCTTTTAAGTAATTCCACTCCATATCAATCAAATAATTTGACCTAATCTCTTCATTAAAGCTTTCAGGAGAGAGGTGCTCAAAATCGACCCATTTGGATCCCCTCAAATTGTTGCCAATATTGATGCCAAATATTAATGATACCATTACCCAACCCTCTTGTTTTTTATCTCCTTGAGTGCATCCATTTGAAAACAAAGGCATAACTCTGTAACAACTCACTTGCGTGCTATGTCAAGGCCAGCTTTCATGATAACATCATATCGAAAGGACTGCACATATTTCTCTATGTCTTTGTAGTCTTTGGGTACACTGGGGTCATCCTCAGGTTCATCCTCATAGTCACTGTCCTCCAGGTCCTTTTCCTTTTCGTCATCTTCTTCTTCTTCCTGTACAGCCGTTGCTCCTCCTTTCTTCTTGCTGCTTTTGAACCTCACCTGATGAAGAACCAACCTGCTCTTAGCTGTATTCCAGCGTGTAAGAAGCTTGTGTGTCCCAAGGGTCAGGGAGGAGGTGGAACCACACAGCTGGCGAGTGTGTAGTGTCCTTGGGCACCATTCTGTCCAATAAGGTCCCTGTCCAGGGTTCAGCAGCTTTCGGGTACTCAGCCTTCCCAACTGTCTCAGGGCCAGTGCCTGTATCAACAATCGCTGCATGCTGTAGCTCCTCCTTGTGACTTGAAAAAAGTAGACAGGCGTTTACAATACAGTTATAAAGAGCAGTCGATTGTGGATTTTTGGTACAACAAGCCTTTAGGAAATCAATAACCATATATGTAATATAGATTGGAAACATTGTTAACAGTTATGTTGGTGGCCCGCTATGGTAACGGTATGCTCACATTAAAGTGGGGGTGTGGCCATAAGAGCAGCATTCATTATGGTTGAATAGCTTTAGCGTTAGCTAACTAGTGCATAAGCTAACGTTACCTATTTCAACTAACGTTAACTAGTAGACATTCAGTAGCTAGCTAGCTACAACATCACATTGTTTATATTATGCAGTGTACTCAACCTCTTCTCGTCCATAGCTAGCTAACTTAAGACTAGGTCTAAAAAATACTACTAATAATTGTTATCTTCAACCTAGGCTAAAGTGAGCTAACTTTGTAATGTGTCACATTAGTTTAGCTACCTAACTACAGAGATAAGCAATAAAGCTAGTAGCTAATAAACATTGTTTCCCCTCAAGGTTACTGATTGTAGCTAAGCCCATTCATGTCGTCGTTACCTTAATTTTGCGATGAGTCTCCTTCATTCAGTTAGCTTGATAGCTAGCTATCTACTTAGAACATGACCCGTGTGAAGGCCAGCCACAGTAATATCACTTCCGCTTAAAGATAGACAATCCTTCAAATTAAAAGTCTGCTGTAAACGGTGAAAATGAATTGTGAAGGCAAAAAATATGGACAATTGGCCCCACTTGTTTCAAAAAATTCTATAAAAATAATAACGGAAAAGTGGTGCTATGAAGCCCCTAAATAAGATCTGGTGCAACCAATTACCTTCAGAAGTCACATATTTAGTTAAAAAAATAAAATAAAATAAAATTAGTTAAATAAGGTCCTGTGTGCAATCTAAGTGTCACATGATCTGTCACATGATCTCAGTATCTATACACCTGTTCTGAAAGGCCCCAGAGTCTGCAACACCACTAAGCAAGGGGCACCACCAAGCAAGCAGCACCATGAAGACCAAGGAGCTCTCGAAACAGGTAAATCAAATTATTAAAAAATGGAAAGAATATGTCACCACAACAAACCTGCCAAGAGAGGGCCGCCCACCAAAACTCACGGACCAGGCAAGGAGGGCATTAATCAGAGAGGCAACAAAGAGACCAAAGATAGCCCTGAAGGACCTGCAAAGCTCCACAGCGGAGATTGGAATATCTGTCCATAGGACCACTTTAAGCCGTACACTCCACAGAGCTGGGCTTTACGGAAGAGTGGCCAGAAAAAAGCCACTGCTTATAGAAAAGGCATGTGGGAGACTCCCCAAACATATGGAAGAAGGTACTCTGGTCAGCCTTTTTGGCCATCAAGGAAAACGCTATGTCTGGCGCAAACCCAACACCTCTCATCACCCCGAGAACACCATCCCCACAGTGAAGTATGGTGGTGGCAGCATCATGCTGTGGGGATGTTTTTCATCGGCAGGGACTGGGAAACTGGTCAGAATTGAAGGAATGATGGATGGCGCTAAATACATGGGAATTCTTGAGGGAAACCTGTTTCAGTCTTCCAGAGATTTGAGACTGGGACGGAGGTTCACCTTCCAGCAGGACAATGACCCTAAGCATACTGCTAAAGCAACACTCAAGTGGTTTAAGGGGAAACATTTAAATGTATTGGAATGGCCTAGTCAAAGCCCAGACCTCAATCCAATTGAGAATCTGTGGTATGACTTAAAGATTGCTGTACACCATCCAACTTGAAGGAGCTGGAGCAGTTTTGCCTTGAAGAATGGCCAAAAATCCCAGTGGCTAGATGTGCCATGCTTATAGAGACATACCCCAAGAGACTTGCAGCTGTAATTGCTGCAAAAGGTGGCTCTACAACACATTGACTTTGGGGGGTGGGGGTGGGGGGTGAATAGTTATGCACGCTCAAGTTTTCTTTTTTTTTTTGTATTATTTCTTGTTTGTTTAACAAGAAAAAATATTTTGCATCTTCAAAGTGGTAGGCATGTTGTGTAAATCAAATGATACAAACCCCCCCAAAATCCATTTTAATTCCAGGTTGTAAGGCAACAAAATGGAAAAATGCTAAGGGGGTTGAATACTTTCGCAAGCCACTGTATACATACAGTACATTACACACACACACACACACACACACACACACACACACACACACACACACACAGTGCATTCGGAAAGTATTCAGACCCCTTGACCTTTTCCACATTTTGTTACGTTACAGCCTTATTCTAATTATTATTATTTTTTAATCAGCAATCTATACACAATACCCAATAATGACAAAGCGAAAACAGGTTTTTAGACATCTTTGCAAATGTATTAATAATAAAAAACCTAAATACCTTATTTGCAGAAGTATTCAGACCCTTTGCTATGAGACTCGAAATTGAGCTCAGGTCTATCCTGTTTCCATTGATCATCCTTGAGATGTTTCTACAACTTGATTGGAGTCCACCTGTGGTAAATTCTATTGATTGGACATGATTTGGAAAGGCACACACCTGTCTATATAAGGTCCCACAGTTGACAGTGCATGTCAGAGCAAAATCCAAGCAATGAGGTCGAAGGAATTGTCCGTAGAGCTCCGAGACAGGATTGTGTCGACACAACAAGACAGTCGTGAAGAGGGCACGACAAAGCCTATTCCCCCTCAGGAGACTGAAAAGATTTGGCATGGGTCCTCAGATCCTCAAAAAGTTCTACAGCTGCACCATCGAGAGCATCCTGACTGGTTGCATCACCGCCTGGTATGGCAACTGCTCGGCCTCCAACCGCAAGGCACTACAGAGGGTAGTGTGTACAGCCCAGTACATCACTGGGGCCAAGCTTCCTGCCATCCAGGACCTCTATACCAGGCGGTGTCAGAGGAAGGCCCTAAAAATTGTCAAAGACGCCAGCTACCCTAGTCATAGACTGTTCTCTCTGCTACCGCACGGCAAGCGGTACCGGAGCGCCAAGTCTAGGTCCAAAAGGCTTCTTAACAGCTTCTACCCCCAAGCCATAAGACTCCTGAACAGCTAATCATGGCTACCCGGACTATTTGCATTTTTAAATGGAAGAAGTTTGGAACAACCAAGACTCTTCCTAGAGCTGGCCACCCGGCCAAACTGAGCAATCGGGGGAGAAGGGCCTTGGTCAGGGAGGTGACCAAGAACCCGATGGTCACTCTGACAGAGCTCTGGAGTTCCTCTGTGGAGATGGGAGAACATCCAGAAGGACAACCATCTCTGCAGCACTCCACCAATCAGGCCTTTATGGTAGAGTGGCCAGATGGAAGCCACTCCTCAGTAAAAGGCACATGACAGCCCGCTTGGAGTTTGCCAAAAGGCACCTAAAGACTCTCAGACCATGAGAAACAACATTCTCTGGTCTGATGAAACCAAGATTAAACTCTTTGGCCTGAATGCCAAGCGTCACATCTGGAGGGAACCTGGCACCATCCCTATGGTGAAGCATGGTGGTGGCAGCATCATGCTGTGGGGGTGTTTTTCAGCGGTAGGGACTGGGAGACTAGTCAGGATCAAGGAAAAGATTAACAGAGCAAAGTACAGAGAGATCCTTGATGAAAACCTGCTCCAGAGCCCTCAGGATCTCAGACTGGGGGCGAAGGTTCACCTTCCAACAGGACAACAACCCTAAACACACATTCAAGACAACGCAGGAGTGGCTTCGGGACAAGTCTCTGAATGTCCTTGAGTGGCCCAGCCAGAGCCCGGACTTGAACCCGATCTAACATCTCTGGAGAGATCTGACAGGCAGGCAGCGTTTCTCAGCCAGTCGAAATCATGAATCAGCATTATTTTTATGGATATATACAAAGAAATGTATATTGAAAAAAGGTCAAACGAAACAAAGCTAGTTTGCAGTCTTTCCAGCTTCAGTTTGAAGTGATTGTGTTAGCTGTGTTGTTGGCTAGCTCCTCTGAACAAGTGTCCTGACGAGAGAGCACATTCTCTATGCCAGGCGAAATTGCGCCTCATTTGCTCATTGTTATTGATGTATCCAAATAAATGTCACTAGAAAACAGTTTAAACAAATGCAAATGCAGCTACTTTGTTGTTATTCTGGCTGCACTGTTTGACTTGACTGTAAGTTAGCCGTAGTTGGCTAGATAGCAAGCAAGGGATAAGAATGTTGCCAGCCAGTATGGCAATGGAATATTTTGAACGAACGACTGGGTTGTGTCTATAGATACAGAACAAAAAGACTGAACGACTGGGTCGTGTCTCTGGCAACCGAACCGGTAGAACGAACGACCAGCCAGCTTGGGTAGCAACCCTAGATTTGTGTCGAGACTATATCTTGTGGAAGGATGAAATAGTATGAATAAATTAATCAAAATAACGTTTTTTTATGAAAATATGTCAACCATTATTTTAATATGTTGGTAACCCGTTGTATAAAAGTGATAATGCCTTCGAAGCCGGTGTTTGGAGGATATATTGGCACGGTTTGCCAATATATAACAACACCCATGCCAATATATCCTCCAAACACCGGCTTCTCGGGCATTATCACTTAAATAGAATCACCTTTGGCATTGATTACAGCTGTGAGTCTTTCTGGGTAAGTCTCTAAGAGCTTTGCACACCTGGATTGTACAATATTCTTCTTAGCTCCATTCCGTTTATTTTTTATCCTGAATAACTCCCCAGTCCTTAACGATTACAAGCATACCCCAAAGTATTATGTTTGGTGCAAATCCAATACAACAATTTACTGAGTACCACTCTCCATATTTTCAAGCACAGTGGTGACTGCATCATGTTATAATCATGCTTGAATCGTTAAGGGAGCTTTAAAAAAGACACGGAATGGAGCTAAGCACAGGCAAAAACCTAGAGGAATACCTGGTTCAGTCTGCTTTCCACCAGACACTGGGAGATGAATTCACCTTTCAGCAGGACAATAACCTAAAACACAAGGCCAAATCTAGACTGGAGTTGCTTACCAAGAAGACAGTGAATGTTCCTGAGTGACCGAGTAACAGTTTTGACTTAGATCTACTTGGAAATGTATGGCAAAACTTTAAATGGCTGTCTAGCAATGATCAACAACCAACTTCACAGAGCTTGAAGAATTTTGAAAAGAATAATGGGTAAATGTGGCATAATTCAGGTGTGGAAAGCTCTTAGAGACTTACCCAGAAAGACTCACAGCTGTAATCGCTGCCAAAGGTGCTTCTACCAAGTATTGACTCGGGGGTGTGAATACTTACACTAAGTTTTAGAACACCTACTCATTCAAGGGTTTTTCTTTATTTGTACTATTTTCTACATTGTAGAATAATAGTGAAGACATCAAAACTATGAAATAACACATATGGAATCATGTAGTAACCAAAAAAAGTGTTTTATATTTGAGATTCTTCAAATAGCCACCCTTTGCCTTGATGACAGCTTTGTACACTCTTGGCATTCGCTCAACCAGCTTCATGAGGTAGTCACCTGGAATGCATTTCAATTAACAGGTGTGCCTTGTTAAAAGTGAATTTGTGGAATTTGTGGAATTTCTTTCCTTCTTAATGCGTTTGAGCCAATCAGTTGTGTTGTGACAAGGTAGGGGGAGGTATACAGAAGATAGCCCTATTTGGTAAAAGACCAAGTCCATAGTATGGCAAGAACAGCTCAAATAAGCAAAGAGAAACGACAGTCCATCATTACTTTAAGACATGAAGATCAGTCAATACGGAACATTTCAAGAACTTTGAAAGTTTCTTCAAGTGCAGTCGCAAAAACCATCAAGCGCTATAATGAAACTGGCTCTCATGAGGACCGCCACAGGAATGGAAGACCCAGAGTTACCTCTGCTATAGAGGATAAGTTCATTAGAGTTACCAGCCTCAGAAATTGCAGCCCAAATAAATGCATCACAGAGTTCACGTAACAGACACATCTCAACATCAACTGTTCAGAGGAGACTGTGTGAATCAGGCCGTCATGGTTGAATTGCTGCAAATAAACCACTACTAAAGGAAACCAATAAGAAGAAGAGACTTGCTTGGGCCAAGAAACACGAGCAATGGACATTAGACCGGTGGAAATGTGTCCTTTGGTCTGGAGTCCAAATTGGAGATTTTTTGTTCCAACCGCCGAGTCTTTGTGAGACGCTGTGTGGGTGAAGGGATGATCTCTGCATGTATAGTTCCCACCGTAAAGCATGGAGGAGGAGGTGTTATGGTGTGGGGGTGCTTTGCTGGTGAAACTGTCTGTGATTTATTTAGAATTCAAGGCACACTTAACCAGCATGGCTACCACAGCATTCTGCAGCGATACGCCATCCCATCTGGTTTGGGCTTAGTGGGACTATCATTTGTTTTTCAACAGGACAATGACCCAACACACCTCCAGGCTGTGTAAGGGCTATTTTACCAAGAAGGAGGGTGATGGAGTGCTGCATCAGATGACCTGGCCTCCACAATCCCCGAGCTCAACCAAACTGAGATGGTCGCACCGCTGAGTGAAGGAAAAGCAGCCATCAAGTGCTCAGCATATGTGGGAACTCCTTGAAGACTGTTGGAAAAGCATTCCAGGTGAAGCTGGTTGAGAGAATGCCAAGAGTGTGCAAAGCTGTCATCAAGGCAAACAGTGGCTATTTGAAGAATCTCAAATATAAAATATATTTTGATTTGTTTAATACTTTTTTGGTTACTACATGATTCCATATGTGTTATTTCATAGTTTTGATGTCTTCACTATTATTCTACAATGTAGAAAATAGTAAAAATAAAGAAAAACCCTTGTTCAGCCTAGGCTACAACTGAATCCATTATTAGGCCTGAGTAAAAGCAGGCATCTGATGTAGAAATGTACACCTTGAATCTTTCGATTGCCATGAATATTCGATAATGTATTGCAACATCTGTGACATTCAACCAAAATATATGGACGGGTGGGGTTCTTTATGCCTGAGGTTATGAATATGTTTTATTATAGCAAAGCTTGTGGCAATTGTATGGCAGCATAATATGAGTGGTACCTCTTCTCTGGTGTCATCGCTGTCGCAGCCGAAGCTGTAGGGGACATTGTGGTACCGATAGCAGTAAGGCGTGGGTTTGCGAATTCAGCTTACTTAGATTGCTTGCTCTGACGTTGAGATAGTCGCTTGTGTCAATCCAGTTTCCTTTGGTAATTTTGCACATAAAAAGCTCGATTTATTTGCTTATAATCTATAGGGTATGTATTTTAAATAAAGGCATGCAGCAGCCGAGAGAGCTGCTGGCAGGCATTTCATCGAATAAAACATGCAGGTAACAGACTAATGAGTCATATCTTTCGTCCATAGAGGCTTGACTCTGAGCTCTGATAAAAATTTTGCGATCAAGAAAGCATTTTCACCAGCGGCGTCTTACAAGAGATCAGGGTTTTTAGAATCGTCTTTAAATTCTCCCTCACACAGATTGAGGAATGTGACCTTGTCGGTATGCTGAAGTTATCCTCTCCACTAAGCATCTTGTAGTCAACCTGAGCAAAGTGGGTCGGCTCATACACACCTGTTATAAATACTTTATAATATGAATAACAGCCCAACAATAATAGCCCAATAATAATAATAATAATAATAGCATTACTAATAGCCTAGAAACAATACAACTGATTCTGCCTACTAGCCTAATACTTGCCTAGGCTACTAATACTAATAGTATGTACTATAATTGTATGTATAAATAAACACTCAAGAAACAACAAAGAATGGTACGAAAACAAAAAGCATACGGGCAAGACATAATGGAATTATTATGTGATATGTCTAGAGTTCGTTCAGGTTAAAAGATTGTTCTGAAATGCAAACCCTCAATGAAACTGCAGATGGCAATGTAGACCTACACACGGACAATATGAGGAAAAACGAAGGCAGTAAAAAGTGTTAATTTGTTGTGTAGGATAATAATAATAATAATAATATGCCATTTAGCAGACGCTTTTATCCAAAGCGACTTACAGTCATGCGTGCATAAATTTTTTTTTGTGTATGGGTGGTCCCGGGGATCGAACCCACTACCTTGGCGTTATAAGCGCCGTGCTCTACCAGATGAGCTACAGAGGACTATTATTATTAACAGGTCTACTGAAAATAGATCAGGATCTTTATGGATATTTTCCTCTCCAATATGTCTCAGCATATGAATATCAGAAAATAGGCAAACTATTTACATTAAGGTATAGGGCCTACTTGAAATTATGTATAAAAGAGTTTAAGTAGGTATACTGTACCGGTTAATTATTAGTTTAATCCTATATAGTTTATGCATCTATAAATAAACTAACACATTGATATGCGTCCTTGTCATTAGCTGCATGCACTGGCAATAATAACAGGCTAATAACCAATGGCCTACAGTGCAGTCATATAAGCTCACGATTTGGCAAGGAACAAAAAACAAGCACGCAATTTCAACCAATGTGTTTTACCGGTTTATTACAGATTCATAAATTATTTATAAACCCCATATACAATAATTATTAACAGTTTATAGATTCAGTGAATAAATCCTATTAAGTAGACTAGTTACCGAAATAAAGTAGGCTAGCCTATACTTTGGTTGGGAAAGATGGTTGAAAAAGTATCCTACAATTGTTGCTCCTCGCTAGGGGCGCTGGTTGAACACAGTGCAATAGAGAAGACAATGTAGCCACTCAGTGTCAGCCAAATCCATGATATTAACACAATCTAAAGAGCAAAGGGGAGTTTCCAAAGTCATCAAACCCGTCCAACTTTCTCATTTACAGCTATAGACCACTGAAAATGGATCCTATTAGGGCTGCTGCTCCTTTGCTATGGCTTTCCCTGTGCTTTGGGAATATTCTGGAGGCAGCGGTACTTGGATCATTGCAGTACCCCTCCGGTGCGGATGATAACGGGCTTGTTTCACATCTGGATGAGCGGAGTCGCAGAGAGCCGACAGCGGTGTCCAGGAAAGACCCTCCGATAAATGATACTATCGTCCCCCATGACTATATGGTATCTCTATACAGGACACTATCTGAGATAGAGAGCAGAGGGTTTAACAGCAGTGTTCCTCGCACCGCAAGACACGCCAACACGGTGACCAGTTTCGTGGATCAAGGAAAAGGTGGGTGAAAGTGATATATGTAGGCTTATTATCACTCAAGGTAGGCTTAATCATGGTGGTTGTCATTTATTTAGGGTTGGAAGGCAATTCAAGTAGCTGTCTCTACTGCACGTAATAAATTAATTGTGATTAATGGGTTACAGTCAATCAGTTATCCAAATATCCATAGCCTACTGCAAATTGCTGTACTATAGCTCAGCCTATGTGACAAGTCTGTGTTGGAAAATGATATGGTAAATACTAGACAAGTGATTTGGGAATATTTAGAAAAATGTCTGTCATAGGATATTTTTGAAACTTTTTGCCATATTAAAAAACGAGATTTCCGCTAATTAATTAAAATAGAAACATGAATTGCAATATCTTGAAAAACCCGATACCCTTACAGCGAATTGCTTGACAATTGCCTTCACCAGCATTCATTATTTTAAGATTAATGCATTAATTTGAAATGCACCCCTACACCACATTCTTACATCTGTCAAGTTTGCAACAATGCGTTATTGAAAAGTATGAAGGAGTCTAAAGTAGGCTACCTACAACTGAAACATTAGTCTATTTGGGGAGGTAGACTACATTTGTTTCACATTTATATGGGAGTTTTCTAAATACTCTAAATACTTCCAGCGAAATATGAAGTCAAATGTCTCGTATTTCCAACATCTGTGATGTATAAACCTCACTGGCACCTTGAGCTAAACACTTCGAAAAGGCCTGCTTTCCCCCAGTCCAGGTGTTGCTGATAAAAACATACTTGTAATTTAAAACGGGTGTTCACATAGAATATTTGTTTGAATAAGTATACTCTGTCAGTAGACCTATTCCATCAAATTAAATTGCAGGAATACAAGTAACTAAACTATGTCCAAAACCGTTTTTTTTTTATTGGGCATTGTGCAATTTGTTAATCAGGATTTTTAAGGAATACATTTTCATGTAAATATAATAACAATGACACTGTTTTAGGTTCATGTAAACCTATAAATTATAACAACAACAATAATAGTAACTATAACAACAAGAATAACAACAATTATTATATTAGAATTTTTGGTTTGTGGACCTGTGGCAAGGAATTATTTCTCTACTTCCTCTCAAAACATGTTATAACTGTGTTATTCTTTTGTGTTAAGAAATGTGTTATTATTTTCAAAGGACTTTAGTCATTTATATCATATTTTTGAGGATTCCAAACTTGTTTTAATGAACAAACACAATTAGAAGGTAAAAGTGGAGGTAATTAAAAATCATTTTAAACTAGATTCCAAAACAGGCATGAACATCTTATCGGTCTTAATCAACAATCACTTAAATGCATCAAAGATGAGAAGTATCATTTTATGTCCCTTCATGAAGAGTCATTTCTTGCATTTTGGTTTCAGAGTCAGTGATTAGTATTCCAGATTTAAGAGACAATATTATAATTTTTTATTGATGTAATTTAGTTCTGCCAACAAAATAATCTAGTCAATGTGCACCTGCGTGTGAGTTTAAATGTGTGCACTGACTTTCCTATTCACTTGCCCCCATAAAGCTCACAGAGCAAGTTCACCTCAGGTACATATAGACACAAAATGGATGAAAAGAATGCAGCTTCATCTTTTATTCACTGAGACTACAACATGGTCTGGGTTATGTCATTGTTTTGTCTAGCAAGCAGATTTTTGCTAGGATAGTGCTGCTCCCTTCACCTTTCATTGTCTGGGTATTCCACTTAAGCCTGCCTAGCTGGTCTTTCTCAGAGGGGGACAAGGGGTAGAGATCCTCTGCACTAAACAAAGGCTTGTATGTCCTTTTTCAGCAGGAGCCTCACTGTGCGCAATTACGACTTATTTTGAGGTCTCTTCCATAATGCATCGATGACACGACACCACAATCTGGCCTTGGATTCTTATGCTACCCATCTGTATTGGAGAAGAAAGTCCCTTCATGTTTTAACCATGGAACTGCGGTTTCGTCCTCAGGTTGCACCGTATCCCAGGACCTCTTGCTTGGGCTGAATGTCAACATCAAAACTTTTGAAATTTAGGCGATAGTCTGTTCCCTCTTAGCAAGCTTTCCCCCCTGCCAATTGCCACATCTCCGTCATGGTTGCAACTGTGGTATGGCTGATGCTGTGAATAGCTGTTATGTGCCAAACTGAATTCGCTGGGGAGAGGAGGACGTGCACGTGACTAACATATCAGATGCATAGAAATTATTTAAATATTCTTCTGTTTGTCTTTCTTTTTCATGTATGTGATACCTCAGGTGAGTGCCAGGTTGCTGTTTGTGGACTACATCTGTATGTGCACCCAGCACTACATGAAATCCAAACATTACACTAAACTTACATTACATCCCCATCACTTTGGTGTGTTCAAATCTCTAAAGCCACCACTTCTCTGAAATTTACAACCTCTCTATGAGAAATATGGACCGAAGGAGGATGAAAGGAAAGGAGCTGAGGCCACTTCAGTTTCTCCAGTGTCTCGCCAAGCCCTCCTCTCACTCAGTGTAATTAGCACATACTGCCAAGGGCTTGAGCCTGCCTACAGGTCAGCCAAGTGCTTTCCTCCTGGCCTGCTCCTGCAGCTTTCGTCAGCTCTGTTGCTTACATGTGGACTCAGGCGATTCAGGCCCAAACAGCGCTTCATGGCCACAGGCTTTCTGTCTACTGTAGAGAGCCACTGCACTTGACCAAAGGGGAGTTCCTGCCAAACATTGAAGACTTGTTTACATATGGCCGCAGACACTCAGAGATTTAAGTCAGCTGACGTCCAGTGCTTGGTTTGCGTTCCCCACCCTCTTTTGGAATAAGTGTGTTGTGATAACTGTGTATGTGTGTGTTAGTGTGAGATTCAAGTGACTAGCCTGTGTTTGATTCCACTACAGATCACTCCTCCTGGGGAAGTGGCCAGCGCTATCTCTTCGACCTCTCCAGCCTGTCCAGAACAGATGAGCTTGTGGAGGCAGAACTGAGGATCCTGAGAAAGCCACCGCTGGATCTCCTTCCTGTGCTGACGTGGGGCAGGAATCTTTATCGCCTCCTCCTCTACACATGTTCGTCTGAGGGGAACTCTGGGAGACGGCTGCTGGATTCCAGGACAGTCGACGTTCTGGATGGCGAGCCTCCCAAATGGGATGTATTTGATGTGTGGGCAAGTGTGAAGGCTCGGCGAAGGAGCCACAAGACAGCAGCAGGCAACGACCTCCTCATGGCCTGCTTTGACCTGCTGGTCGTTTCGGAGTTGACCAAAGAGGCAGCCAACCCTCTTACAGTAGGGCTGGGACGCCAGTCTCGGCAGCCCCAGGAGAGGGCCTTGCTGTTGGCTTTTTCTCGCACCCGCAGGAAAGAGAACCTGTTCAAGGAGATTAGGGAGCAGATGAAGGCAGTGCAAAGAGATATGGGTTTTCTGGATCCTTTGGACCTCTCTGGTGACGTGGTTGGTCACCTATCCAGGCGACGCAGACGCCGGACTGCCCTGACCAGCAGATCTGTAGGTGGAGCTGGTGGGGGAGGAGGAGGAGGCGGTGGTGCTGGAGGAGGTGGAGGAGGAAGGGGTGGTGGAGGCAGCGGGCGCAGGAAGACTCGATGCAGCCGCAGGCAGCTCCATGTCAACTTCAAGGAGTTGGGCTGGGATGACTGGATCATCGCACCGCTGGATTATGAGGCGCACCATTGTGAGGGCGTGTGTGACTTCCCGCTGCGCTCACACCTGGAGCCTACAAATCACGCCATCATTCAGACACTTATGAACTCTATGGACCCTGACTCCAGCCCGCCCAGCTGCTGTGTCCCCTCCAAACTCAGCCCCATCAGCATCCTCTACATTGACTCTGGCAACAATGTGGTCTACAAGCAGTATGAGGACATGGTGGTGGAGAGCTGCGGCTGCAGGTAGCATAGCGACAGAGGGGTGTTTTGCTATTCTTGCGTTGGGCTAGTCTTGTCATTCTGGACTCTGCAAAATGTTGCATTGGAATTTTGGGCTTAGGCTAGTAAACAGAGGAGTCTGATTGTCTTGTCGGAAAATCCATTGGTGGTTTGATGCGCTTGTTAACGAACACCTCCCCTATCTCTTCCCCCTAAACCAACTTTATTTTGTGATTCACTGAAAAAAGTACCAACAAGTATGTTCATTACTGATCTGCCTTCACTTGAGTGGAACATAATCTCATTTGCTGCTTAATTTATTAGAATTTGTCATTGAGCTGCAATTTAATTTCATGAGCTCTTTAGCATTTCTTTACTCATAACATGCTCTGGCTCTCTCTCTTTGTCCCCATGGCTCTGCATGTTGTTCAATGCTGCCAACTTTAGTAAATGTCCCATTCTTAAACAACTGCTATGCTTCTGACTTTGGTTCTATAACATTACTTTAGTAATCAGTTAATGATAAGGTGCATAAAACATCAGCCCTAGCTTTTTAATTTGCTGAGCAGCAGACAGAATTAATTGAAATGAACAAAACAACCCCAGACTTCTAGCTTTACGACAACAGCATTAGAGTACATTTGTGTGCCTATAAGAGAGGAGTAAATTATTTGATATTCTTAAATATCAGAAGTCATAGTTAGACATTTTTTGTCCACTGAACTGCTCCCGCTGTGCTTGCTCTTAACAAAAACAACATTCCAAATGTATGGGAGGACACAATCAAAAAGGACTTTTGAATATTGCAGTTTGCATCACACAAGACCCTACCGTCACCTCTTGGACATGGTTAAAAGAGAGGTTTTAGATAATGCTGTTGCCATTATTGTGAGAAATCTGGACATTGTTATGCATCTGTTTAGCAAGACAGAAAAAGTATCCCATTTATGGTGCTGTCTGCTGTAGAAACCTCTGTCTATCAGCCCATGGTGGAGGAACAGTGATCTTTAGTTAGGGATATGCTATAGGACCCATTTACACAGTTAACTTAGAAAAATAGCTGTGTGTCACAATGCATTTGCTTATATACACTCTATATCATTACTATGCAAAGATCAGAGGTATATGAAATGGAACATTTAAGGTATGAATGAAAGAGGTATGAATGAAGGGCGACAAGGAGAATTTGAAGCAGATTTTTATAGCATGACTCCAATTTATTATTGCTTGCAACTGAGAAAAGTTCGTTTTTTTGCAGGGTATGCTTTCTACTACAGCTGGTAATGTACATGACTTAAACATGCAGATCCCGTGCTAACTATGATTGATATGGCAATTAATTTCCCTGTAAACAGCACAGAACCAATAGGCTATATAATGTCCATAGGAATTCCTTGTCAGGGAAATGGAACATTGGAATTCACAATTTAACACTCCAGGTATTGAAGTATAAGAGCACATGATTTTGCTAAATAATATTGATCAAACAGCAACATGTGTTGGTCTTTGGATGTAATTTCCATTTATTCACTTTTATTTTAGAGTTCAGTCCAGAGTTGCATGTTAGCCTGGTGGTCCAAATACACTATATATACAAAAGTATGTGGACAACCCTTCAAAATAGTGGATTCGGCTATTTCAGCCACACCCGTTGCTGACAGGTGCATAAAATCGAGTACACAGCCATGCAATCTCCATAGACAAACACTGGCAGTAGAATGGCCTTACTGAAGAGCTCAGTGACTTTCAACGTGGCACAGTCATAGGATGCCAACTTTCCAACAAGTCAGTTCGTCAAATTTCTGCCCTGCTAGAGCTGCCCCGGGTCAACAAGTGCTGTTATTGTGAAGTGGAAACGTCTAGGAGCAACAACAGCTCAGCCGCGAAGTGGTAGGCCACACAAGCTCACAGAACGGGACCGCCGAGTGCTGAAGTGCGTAGGGCGTAAAAATCATCTGTCCTCGGTTGCAACACTTACTACCGAGTTCCAAACTGCCTCTGGAAGCAACGTCAGCACAATAACTGTTTGTCTGGAGCTTCATGAAATGGGTTTCCATTTTCGAGCAGGCACACACAAGCCTAAGATCACCATGCGCAATGCCAAGCGTCGTCTGGAGTGGTGTAAAGCTCGCCGCCATTGGACTCTGGAGCAGTGGGAACACGTTCTCTGGAGTGATGAATCATGCTTCACCATCTGGCTGTCAGACGGACGAATCTGGGTTTGGCAGATGCCAGGAGAACGCTACCTGCCCCAATGCATAGTGCCAACTATAACGTTTGGTGGAGGAGGAATAATGGTCTGGGGCTGTTTTTCATGGTTCGGGCTAGGCCCCTTAGTTACAATGAAGGGAAATCTTAACGCTACAGCATACAATGACATTCTAGATGATTCTGTGCTTCCAACTCTGTGGAAAAGCGAGGTCCATACAGAAATGGTTTGTCAAGATCGGTGTGGAAAAACTTGACTGGCCTGCACAGAGCCCTGAGCTCAACCCCATCTAACACCTTTGGGATGAATTGGAACGCAGACTGCGAGCCAGGCCTAATCGCCCATCATCAGCACCCGACCTCACTAATGCTCCTATGGCTGAATGGAAGCAAGTCCCCGCAGCAATGTTCCAACATCTAGTGGAAAGCCTTCCCAGAAGAGTGGAGGCTGTTATAGCAGCAAAGGGTGTGACCAACTCCATATTAATGCCCATGATTTTAGAATGAGATGTTCGACGAGCAGGTGTCCACATACTTCTGGTCATGTAGTGTATGTTTGTGCTTTAGCCAACTCTTCCCTGACGTGTTTGTTCATTGTCATTCAAAACATATAGGTATCACAGCAATAAATAAGTTATTACCTGCTTTTCAAAGGTGGTAATTAAGTGTAAATTCCCCACAAATCCCAGTGGAATCACATTAATACAAGGTAAACAAATATGCACAGTCAAGACATAGGAAACAAAACCACTTGCAAAGTGTAAACTAGGCACAGATCATATGTTGTGTCCCCAGGAGAGAACTCCCTTGCAGATGTTTCATAGTATTGGTGAAAGACATCAGCCTTTGCTTCACACGCTCTCTGTAATATATTTCGTTACAACGCTGTTTGTGGTAACGTCATATCACTGAGTCTCAGTTTAAATGTAATTATATTTCCTGTAATTCCAAGTCAAATTCAAACAAAGATTCTTGAATTGAATTTGAGATTACCAAACCATTCTGTCTGCATTGACCATAGTGTGGTGTATCGAGATTTATATGCATTTGTTTTATTTCTTGAAATAGATATATTCCCATATTTTTGCACAAAAGGCAAATAGGTGATAATTTATGACTACAGACTAGTGCATTTCTATGTACGGGAGTATTTGTACTGATATACAATATGTGAGTCAAATGTAATGTACTAATATCATATTTGAGTGTTTGCTGCTTTTGTTTGGAATTCTGTTTGTTAAAATATTTCATTTAATTTCTAACCAAAATCCAAAGCAGCTTTCTTGCATTTTGTTCCACATTTTTTAATACAAACCAGAGATGTTATTTTCTATGGTTTTCTTTTTCCGATTATGTTCAACCGATTTGGTTCTTTATGAATTAAAACAAAATCCTGCAAAACGGACTATAGTGGCATTTTGAAGTAAGGACTATGCTCAAAAACAAACAAACCGCAAGAAATTCTCTGCTTGTGTTATATTTCAAACAGCAGAGGCAATTCAGTGGCACATCATTTCCAGGAGGGCGATAAACGGCTATAATGAAACTCCCCCAACATCATTGATATCACCTAACAGACATTGAAAAATAGCAAAGTTTGAATCAATTTCTCAGAATTTCTAATAATTTGTAATCAAATGTAAACATTAAACTGCCCAAATATTAAGAAAAAGGGGGTGTAATGATACAACTTCCTGTAAATTCCTGTTGCACACATTTTCGATGGAAGCCTGATTACTATCATAGTCACAGTTACCCTCCTTTTTGAAGATATTTTCAACTGCAGTGACATTCTGCTCAGTGGAAAATAGTTACCATAAGAGCTACTTGATTAGCGTGTATACCCTTTATCTAAATTACATCAATATGGCAAAGGATAATAAAACAAAAGTGTCAGGCAGAAAATAAACCCCAAAAGCTAATTTAGTCCAGAGAGTAGCTCCTCTGTTATGCTATGCCTTGATATTAGATACATTTGTATTTGTTCCACTTTGTTTGTGTGCGTGTCCTATTACAACTACTTTGTATAACTGTTTTCTTTCTGTTTCTTTGTGATCCATAATGCCAAGCACATTTTCATGAAAATGGCAAATCACAAGGAAGTGATTGGGCTGTTCCATACTTCACTGCATGTTTACTTCAGCAAGCTTGTCTTAGCATGTCCATTGTCTTGAAATAGTATTCCCCCCATGCACAGTTGTCACATTTTGTTGCACATTTTGTGACTCCACTAAACTTAAATCTGCTTGAAAATCTGTGGCAAGACAGAGTTTGCTGTAAATCAACGATCCCCATCCAACTTGACAAAGCTTGAGCAATTTTGCCAAGAACAATGGACACATGTTGGGATGTGCTTTGAGAGTGTGGAGTGTTGTGTAGATCATTGGGGTAAAATGCCTCAAAATCCTAGACTCTAAGGCAACAAAAGGTGAAAGCTACGCAATGGTTAGGATGGATGTTGTTTCGAGACTCATGGATGCTTCACGAGTACAAAGTGTTGTTGTGAACATATGACCAACTCCTGGGCCATCTTATCCAAGGATGGTCTCTGTTTCAAAGGCACTGTGGGCGGTATTCTGACTTGAGATCTGCATGCTTAATTCTAATTTAACCATATCATCAGTTGCGGTTTGATCTAGACAATGTTAAAGTTAGTAGCTGTTAACACTGACAAAATATATTTTGAGTTTTGTTTGTATAACAGCATTTGTTCGTTATTGAATTGGGATTCTGATATGAAATGCCCAGTACTTAACAACATCTATGCAATGTGTATTTCCCCATAATTCTGCTTTTACCTATTCAAAAATGATGTCTTAA